AGCGGATTACACACTACAAATGACATTAAATCCCCCGTATAACGTCCTATAAGTGGATTACACACTACGAATGACGTTAAATCCCCCGTATGACGTCCTATAAGTGGATTACACACTACAAATGACGTTAAATCCCCCGTATGACGTCCTATAAGTGGATTACACACTACAAATGACGTTAAATCCCCCGTATGACGTCCTATAAGTGGATTACACACTACAAATGACGTTAAATCCCCCGTATGACGTCCTATAAGTGAATTACACACTACAAATGACGTTAAATCCCCCGTATGACGTCCTATAAGTGGATTACACACTACGAATGACGTTAAATCCCCCGTATGACGTCCTATAAGTGGATTACACACTACGAATGATGTTAAATCCCCCGTATGATGTCCTATAAGTGGATTACACACTACAAATGACGTTAAATCCCCCACATGACGTCCTGTAAGTGGATTACACACCAACAAAGGCATTAAATCCCCCAGTGTGACATCTGTAGGATTTAGATGGATTTCTAACTGAATTATAAGATAAAACCCTTCAAATATTATTAAGGTATCTCTAAGTAAGGATAATCTCAGAATAGAGATAACTCACTTTAAAGACGGAAAGTGAATATTAATTAGCTTTAATGTTTATGATTTTCTAAGTAATGTTTATAGTCAGAAGTTGTATTAGTTTTGAGGTTAACATCTGATGTGTGTGTGTGTGTGTTTGTGTGTGTGTGTGTGTGTGTGAGTGTGTGTGTTGTGTGTGTGTTTTGTGTGTGTGTGTTGTGTGTGTGTGTGTGTGTGTGTGTTTTGTTTTGGTGTGTGTGTTTGTTTTGTGTGTTGTGTGTGTGTTGGTGTGTGTGTTGTGTGGGGTTGTGTGTGTGTGTTGTGTGTGTGTGTGTGTGTGTGTGTGTTGTGTGTGTGTTTTGTGTGTGTTGTGTGTTGTGTGTGTGTGTTTTGGGGTGTTTGTGTGTGTGTTTTTGTTGTGTTTGTGTTGTGTGTTTGTGTGTGTGTGTGTGTGTTGTGTGTGTGTTTGTGTGTGTGTTTTGTGTGTGTGTGTGTGTGTGTGGGGTGGTTGTGTTTTGTGTGTGTGTGTGTGGTGTTGTGTGTGTGTGTTGTGTGTGTTGTTTGTGTGTGTGTTGTGTTGGGTTTTGTGTTTTTGTGTGTGTGTGTTTTTGTGTGTTTTTGTGTTTTGTTGTGTGTGTGTGTGTGTTGTGTTGTTGTGTGTGTGTGGTTGTGTGTGTTGTGTGTGTGTGGGGTGGTTGTGTTGTGTGTTGTTGTGTTGTGTGTGTGTGTTTTGGTGTGTGTGTTTTGTTGTGTTGTGTGTGTGTGTGTGTTGTGGTGTGTTTTTGGTGTGTGTTTTTGTGTGTGTTGTGGTTGTGTGTGTTGTGTTGTGGGTGGTGTGTTGTTTTGTTTTTGTGTGTGGTTGTGTGTGTTGTGGTGTTAGTGTTGTGTTGTGTTGTTGTGTGTGGGGTGTGTGTGTGTTTTGTTTGTTGTGTGTGTGTGTTTTTTGTTGTGTGTGTTGTGTGTGTGGTGTGTGTGTGTGTGTGTGTGTTGTGTGTGTGTGTGTGTGTGTTGTGTTGGGGTGTTGTGTTGTGGGGTGTGTGTTGTGTGTGTTGTGTTTTGTGTGTGTGTGTGTGTGTGTTGTTGTGTGTGTGTGTGGTGTGTGTGTGGTTGTGTTGTGTTGTGTGTGGTTGTGTTGTGTGTGTGTGTGTGTTGTGTGTGTGTGTTGTGTGTGTTTTGTGGTGTTTTGTTGTGTGTTGTGTTGTGTGTTTGTGTTGTGTGTGTGTGTGTGTGTGTGTGTGTGTGTGTGTGTGTTTTTTGTGGTTGTGTGTGGGGTGTGTTGTGTGTGTTGGTGTGGTGGGTGTGTTGTGTGTTGTGTGTGTGTTGTGTGTGGTGTGTTGATGTCCTCAATTCTGAGCTGCTTCCCAGGAGAACACAATACCAATCCTTGCTGGTTCCATCTCCCTCCACTCACTGGATAGTGTCCTTAAACATGTTGGAGCATAGGGTTTTTCCAGAGCACCACGACCAACATCCTGGCTCTCCATATTTCGGGACCCCATTGGGCTCCAGGATTCCCATCAATCTCCCTGTGTGTTGAAATCCCCCATAACAGCAACTTTGCTCTGCTGGAGTGAGCTCTTCTTGCCAGCTACTCAAGTGTGTCCACCATTAGCCCTGTTTGCAGTCGTTCATATACCTTCTCTTGGCCTCCTGGCAGTTCTGTGGTGGATTATACATCACTGCCATGACCCACTTAGTGTTCCCGACTGAAGTGTACCTGCTATTTAAGTCTCCTTCACTCGTCCCCCCCTCATCTATTCCTTTCCTTCCTATTTTCCTCGAATTTCCATCTGTATTTTACGAGCAGAGCAACCCCACCGACCTCCCCCCCTGCCCCTTCTATCTTTCCTAAATGATCTGGTCTCCTGGGTGGAAGATTTGCATCAGTTATTGTCTCCGTGATTTTGTTTCCTGTAAAACTGCTTATGATGTCTGGGGACTTCTCATGGATATCTTCTTGCCATTCCTCATGTTTATTCGTTAATCCAACTGCAATTGTTGTACCAAACCATCAACTTCTGTTCTAATACTGTAACTGTGGTGCGTGGTGGTGGGAACAGAGAGATCGGGTGTGTGTATGGTTGGATTGAATGATCATCTTGCCATGGGGTGTTGTGGCTGGAGACCTATATGCTGCATTTGTTTTCTGGGGTGCGCCTGTCCTTGCCCCATTTGATCCTGGGTTATTCTGCTCTCTTTTTCATTATCCTGACTCCCATTTTCTCCTTTACGTTTTTGAATCTCTCTTGTCATGTCTCCTTTCGTCCTGTGTTCTGTCTCGATCGGAGTACACACTTCCGTAACTCCTGACATGCCTCTCAGGCCCTTGCATACCCACCTGCAGGATCATGGTTCGGGTTGATTCTGTCCTGTTGAAAATTACATTGAGAGGCCGATTTCCTTTTCTTGTTAACCACCCAATTCTCCGAAAATTTGCCACCTGGTCATTCCCCACGCCTATCACCTTCAAGATTGTCTTCAAATCGCTTTTTCCCGTCCTCCTCATTCTTATCATCATAAGTTTCGCCCTTTAGCTCGTCCTAGCCCATAGACAAAAAAACGGATCTCACACCTTTCCACCTCCCACTGTGACTCCCTTGCATCCTCGATGTGTTTTAGTTCCTTCCCGTGAGGTTTCCTTCCTTCAGTCGCCTTCACTCGTTTTGGCCACCTAGTGCTTCTTGGTTTATCCTGTCCTGCTCACTGCTCCTTGGCCCCACATGTAATCTGGTAAGGTCCTTGCACATGTCCTAGTTCCTTCATATGACATCCAACCTCGTCCTTATGTCCAAGTGTGCTCCCTGTCTTTGTTTGGCCCCCTGTGGGTTTAGACAGTACCCTCGCATACATTTAGTTACCATCTTCCTTCGGACCTGTTGGTTCTTTGTTCGATGTAGCCATTGCCTGAATGCTACTCGTGTAAAAACTATGTCTCTGTGCTGTTATTCAGATGTCACAGCTCCCTCTTCTAATCTCTCTCTCCTTGGATTTCTGTGCTGCTGTGGCCTGTTGCTTCCACCTTCTGCATTCTGCTGCTAACCTCTCTTCCCATCTTCCTTTCAGACTCATCTAGTCTCCATATATTATTTTTTTTTATCCCCATCATCCTAGCTTCCCTTTTTTGAGCTCAACCTTCCCATTCCATCCCTCTCAGATTCTCCTTGGAGCCCCTTGTCCTCATCCTGGTTAGGGGGATGGGAATAATGTATGAAGAGGGTGGATGGTTATGGGTGAAGGTGAGGTATGGTTATTGGAGGGGTAAGATAGTTGGGAGAGGGAGTTAGATGGTTTGGGGGAGAGAGGGGATGGATAGTTGTATGGGGAGGGGGAGGATGGTTTTAATGGAGGGAAGGGAGGTAGTTGATCGGGGTTAGGACTGTTTGGGGAGGGTATAGGTGTTTTTGGGGGAGGGGTAGATGGCTAAGGTGAAGGTGGTTATGGAATGTGTTACTGTTTGTGTCAATGTTTAGAGCACAGTGGAGAGTGTGTAGGTGGGTGTGTGTGTGTGTGTGTGTGTGTGTGTTTTGTTGTGTGTATTGTGTGTGTGTGTGTGTGATGTGTGTTTGTGTTTGTGTGGTGTGATGTGTGTGTGTGTGTTGTGTGTTGTGTGTGTAGTGTGTGTGTGGCTTTGGAGTTTTTTGTGTTGTGTGTGGTGTGGTGTGTGTGTTGTATTGGTGTGGTGAGTGTGTGTGTGTGGTGTTTTTTCTTGTGTGTGTGTGTTGTGTGTGTGTGTGTGTGTGAGGTTGTGGTGTGTGTGTGTGTTGTGTGTGTAATGGTTACTTCACTCTTATTAGAATGTAGGTGTCGATTCAAAATCTGCTCCTCGACCCTCCCCGCCTCTTCCTGGTGGCTACAAGTCTATCTCGTCGCATTTCCAAT